GATTGGCCGTTTTGGCAAGCGAGTGCGAGGGGGTCCCATGCCTGAATGTAGATTGTACGTGTAGGCGCTGGCGCGTCAAAAGTTCAATGGCCGCTGGAGACCGCGAGCGGCGGCACACGTGCTGCCCAAACCCTACCTGCAGCCGGGGGGCGATCCGTCCGTCGATCTTGTGAACGCCTTCGAAGCGGGCCTGCCCTGGAAGGCTCTCTCGGGGCAGCGATCTCTGGCAAGGCCCTGCAATCAGCGGCGAAACGGCATGGCTGCATCTGTTTCGACGAGGACACCCCCGGAGGGCACGCACGTCACGCGCTGGAGCGCTGTGCCTGGACTGGGCTGGCCGAGCGCGCGAGGCTCCCCTCGGCCGGAGCAGGCGCGAGCGGAGAGGCCCGCTGAGGCCTCTGCCGCGCGCTTCTGGGCCGGAGCTCGCTGAACGCGGCGGCCGGGCGAGGGCGAGGCCGCGGTGCAGGGCGGGGCGTGACGGAGCGACGACTTCCCCACCTCCCCACTGCCCCTCGCCTCCCCTGTGTCTATCTTCTCCCCCCTCTTCCTCCCCTGCCCTTCCCTCCCTCCGTCCCCTTCCGTGGCGGACAGGCGAGGCTGGGCGGATCGGGCAGGGTGACGCGACGAGGCGCTCACTCTCCTGCCTCCCGCCTCCCTCCCCGATCGGGCCCTTTTTTGAAGCGGATCCAGATCCCTCGTCCCCCACAGCAGGGGAAGCTGCGGCATCCCTCGCACGGGTCCACACCGAGGCCAGGGTGAATCAGTTAAGACGTCTCCCTTGGGCGGTCCGCGCCTGCTCCGCACTTCCCCACAGGAGCGTCTCTGGAATAAGTGTCCAGTCCGGGCCTCGGACAGGAAAAGTGTCGTGGCTGGCGACGCACGGGTTGGCTGTTGGGTGCTCCTTTGGTTGCCGGGCTGGGGGTCAGGGTCGCTCATGGCCAGACGGCCCTTCGCGAGCGATGCTGGTCCCAGGCTGTGTTGCCTCGGGCTTTCGATGCGCGTGTGGGGCTCTATCGCCGACCCATGGCCCTGCCCCCCCTCGTCCGCCTGGCGTCCATGTCCTCGGACTTCTATCATGGCAGGTGGAGCGCGCGCAGGGCTGTCGGGACCCCAGGGGACAGGACTGGCTCCCCCCCCCCTGGGCGACCAACGAGGACACTGTGCCCGCAGGCCCGCCAGCGCTCGCCTCCCCGTGCGCCAACCAGCCAGCGTGCTCCCTCCCTCCTTCCCCCTTCCTTCCTGCCCTCCCTGCCCTCCCTGCCCTGCCCTCCCCTCCTTCCTCTCTCCGCCCTTCAGCTCTGAGATCCGGGCGTCGCGATTTTTCTCACCGGGCGTTTTCGCTAGCCTTCGGGCCCGAGGGCCATGACAGACCGATGCGGCTTGAGAGTGCTGCAGAAAGACAGGGTCTAGGGCTCTGGTCTCCTTCTTTTCGCGGTGTTGCAGTCTGTTCGCAACGTCGGACCTCAGGGTCGGGTGGAGAGATGTGTGCACATGTATCGCCCCGAGCCCCGTCGCGTCGTGGTAAGATCGCGACGGAACGTTCTTTAGGCTTCCGAGAACCCTCGCCGGGCCCCAGGACCGTCAGAAAAGGCATCAGGACGAGAAACTTGTCCTCGGGAAGAGGTCCAGACTCGCAACGATCACGACGTCGGGGTCTGGGCTCTAACTGGGGCGACGAGATTTACACACACACACATATTCACCGCCCTCGGCGGGGCCCGTCCTGGGCCTGTGATCGGTGCGTCGGCTTCCCTGGCCAAGCCAGGGGGGCGCACGCATCGTTGTTCAGTTTGGGCCGTCTTTTGACGGTCCGGGAGCCTGGCGAGCGAGGACAACCCCCAAGCTCCCGTCTTGATTTCTCGCGACGCGAGGGGGTTTGGGTATCTTTCGGTCTCTCCCTTCCCCGTGCTCTTTTCCTGCTGCTGCAGCTCGCGTCGCGGACCTCTGGGAAGGCTCAGGGCAGCACCCCAGGGTCCCGCGATCCTAGGCGGTTGCCGCCCCCCCGTTTCTTCTCTCCCGTCGTCTTTCTCTCGCCGAGCGCGCTCCACGACTCGCAAAGTGCCTGCTCGCAAACGTCCGGAAGACACATGTCTGCTCCGATATACTTCATCGTAGATCCCCTGCGGCGGATCCAGGTCATTTGCGAGAGGTCACTTTGTTGCGAGTATTGGAGCGCGCTCGTCTATCCTCCTTCTCCTTCGCTTCCTCCCCTCTGCAAGGCGTCGCGGCCTGGCACCGCGAATCTGCGGCCTGGAGCAGGCCGCGCAAGGCTTCGGCCCGCAGCAGGTTCTCGCTGGCATCGTCTGCGCCCGGGGCTACCCCAGGACAAGTCGCGGCAAAAGTCCTCGGCGCGCGCGCGCGACAGGGGGTGCCGATTGGGAGAAGGGGGCGACAAGACACGGGTGGCGGGGCACGGACCCGCCCTCCTGCCTCGGCTTGCGGGCGCCGGTGGGGAAAACATAGAGGAGGAGGAGGAGGAGGAGGAGGAGGAGGAGGAGGA